AATTACAGGACATAAGCTGAAGAGAAACAGAAGACAAAGTCATATGGGGTACCTGGGTGGCTCAGTTGGTTAAGCATCTGACTCTTAATTTTGGCTCAGGTCATGATATCATGGGTCAGTCTCCTTGCACTGACAATGCAGAGCCTGCTTGGGATTTTCTCTCTCTCTCTTTCTCTCTCTCTCTCTCTCTCTCTCTTTCTGTCCCTCCTGTGTGCGCTCTCTCTCTCTCTCTCTCTCTCTCTCTCTCTCTCTCTCAAAATACATAAATAAACTTTAAAAAAAGAAAAAAGAAGAAGACAAGGTCATACAAGACCCTATAAGCCATGGCAAGGACTTTGGATTTTAGTCTATATAAGATGAGGAAACATTAGAAGGCTATCGTGCAGAGAATATACTGTAAGGGCAAAAGGTTACAGGAAAGAGACTAGCTAGGAGGCCATGGAAGTAACAAAACTTTAACTTTTTACTGTGGTGGAATAAAAACCAACTGTTGAGCAGCAAAAGGTAGGGACAAGGGAGCCAGAATGCTGCAAAGCAGTGAAATGAGGGCAGTAATGTAGGGTTTTGTGTGTGCGTGTGCGTGTGCGTATGCACATATGAATGCACACGTGTAGGGCTAAAAGAGCTTCCTTTCTATCTGTATCTTTCACTCCCAAAGAAAGGCATTTCCTGGACTTCCTCTTACAGGAATTTCTGTCTTGTTTTTGCATAGGAATCAAAGCAAGCTAAACCTTGGAGTGGAACTGAATCCCTATGATCTGAATGTCACATTTTGAGGGGTCTCTAACCTTTCTTGAAAAGAAAGACTAAAGACTATTTGCTATACAGTAGATCTTTAGGACTTCTTCAACTTGAAAAACTGAACCTGAGTACCCTTTCACTAAAATTTCCTCATTCCCTCCCTACCACCATTCTACTCTGCTTCTATGAGTTTATTTTAGATTCCACGTATGAGTGAGATCATATAGTATTTGTCTTTCTCTGTCTGGTTTATTTCACTTAGCATAATGTCCTCTAGGTTCATCAGTGTGGCTCAAAATGGCAGGATTTCTTTCTTTTGTTAAGGCTGAATAATATTCCATTGTATGTATATAGATTTTCTTATCACTTGTTGATGGACACTTAGATTGCTTCCATGTCTTGGCTATTGTGGATAATACTGTAATGAACATGGGAGTGAAGATATCTGTTTGCAATCCTGATTTCAGTAACTTTGGATATATATTTCCAAAAGTGAGATTTCTTGATCTTATGGTAATTGTATTTTTAATTTTTTGAAGAACCTTCATCATACTGCTTTCCATAGTGACTGCACCAATTTACATTCCCACTAGCAGTGCACAAGAGTTGCTTTTTCTCCACATCCTCATCAACACTTGTTATCTCTTGTCTTTTTCGATAATAGCCTATCCAACAGGTGTGAGGGGGTATTTCATTGTGGTTTTCATTTACATTTCTCTGACGATTAGTGATGTGGAGTACCTTTTTACATAACTGTGTCCATTTGTATGTCTTGGGAGTAATGTCTATTCAGGTCCTTTTCTCAATAAACAATACTGTATTGTTTACTTTAAAATTTGCCAGGTGGACAGGTCTTATGTTAAGGGTTCTAGTCACACAAAATAATAATAATAATAATAATAATAATAATAATAATAATAATATGGAAGGAAACTTTTGGAGGGGATGGATATTTTTATGGCATAGACTGTAGTGATTAGTATATTAGCTTGGATATTGCCAGGGTGCTTTCTGCTGCAGAAAATCTTGAAAAGGTCTTGAAATTTGTAGCAAAGAGAAGGAAGAAGGGAACACAGTATAACATGGGATGTCAGAGAGCATTAGGGTGTGTTTAAGAACCAATGAAAGGAGCACAGCATAATCTGGGTTGTGAAGTACTCTGCCCTCACCAACATCTGCTTTCTCCTCCCTCTCTGCTATGTGCCTAGGTAGGATGTGCAAGAAGTGTATGGAAAGGAAGATAGAAATGTTATGAATCAGTTCCACTCCTAATCAGAAATCAGATGCCCTTTGCATCTTGCTTTTATAATCTATTTGTTGTGGTCTTATTTGCCATGTCCTCAGGACTGCTGGGTAGACATAAAATAATTTCCCCTTGACATTATTCACAAAAGACAGTGTCTTGGAAATACTAATATAAGTGGAAAGAAGGAACACAATTTTCTTTATTAAACCGTCATGGAATATTTTAAGTATCCAACACAAGGAACAGGTTTCACAGTGAAATAATTTTTTTCTGTGTGTCAGATCCTTTGAATTATGAAACCTCCTTTATGCCTTGAGAATAAAGAGTGGATTGATGGAATATTGCAGTCTGACTTGAAAATTAAGCCTTTGTCCAAGACACATGAAAAATTTTGTAAATATTAAAGGGATTAGTTAGATCTTCAAGGATACTTGCCATCTAGATTCAACCTCTTACTGTTTTGTTGGGAGAACTAAAAATAAGAGATGGATAAGTACTTGTTGAAGAGTATACACTTGGTTTTTACCTTTTAGTCTAGAATTCTTGCTAACATACACATGAACATGTTTTAGTTATCCTGCTCTAAGCAATATCTAGTATTGCTCCTCTGAACATTTGTGAAGGGTTACATATTCATCAGGTTTAACAATTAGGATTGGAAATGCTGTCCAGTTGGTCACCTAGAGCTCTAAAAGGATGGCATAGATTGAATCCAGTATAACCAGGAAACACACAGATTAGCTAGAAATAACTCATCAAAGCTAGGCTCCAAAGAATTCTGACTTTATGCTCTGCAGGTCTCATTTCTACATGAAAGGCTACTACCTAGGCCAAGGAAAGTTAAGGCTCAAAATTCTGTAAAGAGTCTTTCAGGGGTCCCTGGGTGGCTCAAGTTGGTTGAGCATCCAACTTCGGTTTGGGTCATGATCTTATGGTTTGTGAGTTTAGGCCCACATCAGGCTCTGTGCTGGTAGTGGAAAGCCTGCTTGGGATTCTCTCTACCTCTCTCTACACCCCTCCCTTGCTGACACATGCTCTTTCTCTCAAAATAAATACATAAACTTAAAAAAAAGAGCCTTTCAGGTTTTCCATGAAGAGTATCATATAATCTGCGAAGAGTGAAAGTTTGATTTCTTTGCCAATTCATATGCCTTTTATTTCTTTTTGTTTTCTGATTGCTGAGGCTAGGGCTTCTAGTACTATGTTGAACAACAGTAGTGAGTGTGTGAGTGACAAACATCCTTTGTCATGTTCCTGACTTTAGGGGGAAATCTCTCAGTTTTTCCCCTTTGAGAATAGTAGCTGTGGGTCTTTCATATATGGCCTTTATAATGTTGAGGAATGTTCATTCCATCCCTAATTTCTTGAGAGTTTTTATCAAGAAAGAATGCTATATTTTGTCAAATGCTTTTTATGCATCTATTGAGAGGATCATATGGTTTTTATCCTTTCTTTTATTAATGTGGTGTGCCACATTGATTGGTTTGCGAATATTGAACCAGCCCTGCAGCCCACAAATAAATCCCACTTGATTATGGTGAATAATTCTTTTACTGTACTGTTGAATCTGATTTTCTAGTATTTTATTGGGAATTTTTATATCCATATTCATCAGGGATATTGGCCTTTAGTTTTCCTTTTACATGGGGTCTTTGTCTGGTTTTGGAATCAAGGTAATGCTGGTTTCATAGAATGAGTTTGGAAGTTTTCCTTCTATTTCTGGTTTTTAGAACAATTTGAGAAGAAAAGGCATTAACTCTTTAAATGTCTGGTAGAATTCCCCTGGAAAGCCATCTGGTCCAGGATTCTTAATTGTTGGGAGATTTTTTATTACTGATTTAATTTCTTTGCTGGCTATGGGCCTGTTCAAATTTTCTATTTCTCCTGATTCAGCTTTGATAGTGTGTGAGTTTCTAAGAATTTGTCCACTTCTAGATTGCCTAGTTTATTGGCAAGAAATCAGAGGAGAAATCTTAGAATAGATTATTTATGCAGAATAATGCCGGAGAATGAATATGTGGGCATTGCAAATCATACCCCATTCAGATTTTCATTGAGGAATCCATGCAGTGTCTTTCACATGTTGTTCCTATTAAGAAACATGAGGTCTTTATGGGGCACCTGGGTGGCTCAGTCGGTTAAGCATCTGACTTTGGCTCAGGTCATGATCTCAGCTCAGGTCATGATCTCACGGCTTGTAAGTCGAGCCCCATGTTGGGCTCTGTGCCAACAGCTCAGAGCCTGGAGCCTGCTTCAGATTCTGTGTCTCCCTCTCTCTGTCTACCCCTCCCCACCTATGCTCTGTCTCTGTCTCTCAAAAATAAATAAACATTAAAAAATATTAAAAAAATAAAGCATGAGGTCTTTAGACTTAACCTCTGAGGTTTTTGGTGTCCTCCATTACCTTCATATTTTGTTTTACTGACCAGTTTTTTTTTTGTGTGTGTGTGCATGCGTGTGTGTGCACAAGCACATGCAGTATATGTTCTCCAAGAGGCACCTCCATCAACAAAGTTATAGCAGTTGCTGTGAGCAGCAGAGACATCTTTTGTACCTGTTCATTATCAAGATAAAGATATTCATCTCTCCTTCCCAGTGTAGTCTTTACATTGGTTAACTCACTATAGGCTGCTGATAAGAATTATTTAACAAATAATTAACTGCTATCAAAGAGTGAATAAGTCAGAATCTTGTGTTTTAAGCCTTCTTTGAGAGGGAGGGTTGGCTGAGGGAACTCAGCTAAGGCAGATAAGTTATATGTGTTTTTTCTAAAGGTGGTAAGGTGGGATTCAAATCTGATTTAAAAATCTGAATACTGAATGCTGCTTTGAGTTGCTGTTTGGTTCAATTAATTCATCCCTTGTGTTCATAAAGACTTCAATCTCAGTGAACCTAAATAAATGAAATCCCATTATTCTTAGGGGCACCCCATTGCTGGTGAGTGGGAACTCAGCTCTGTGATTAATACTGTTCATTTTTGCTTAATCTAATTTTCTTTTCTCCTTTGTGTTAGATTAACAATTCATGCTGAGTGCCCCATGCATTTGGAAGATTTTCCTATGGATGTACATGCCTGCCCACTGAAGTTTGGAAGCTGTACGTATTGTTTTTCAGTTTCTGTTTACCTGTTCTTCTGAAAGGAAACTGAGTATTTCCTATTCTGTCCCCTAGTAGTTTCTAAAGCTGAAACCTTTAACCCAGGCCAGTATGGGAATGAGGAAAGGGAGTGGTGTTCAATAGTACTAACTAATCAGGAGGAGGAGACTTAGCTTTTAATAGAGTTTTCTTTCTAGATAGCAAATATTATCTCACTATTTCAGATTCATTTCTATCATTAGATTGAAACATTAACATCTGTTTTCTAAATTGTCCAGAAGATAGAGCAAGACAGAGCTAATATATTGTGATGGGCACTGAGTGATGTATGTAAGTGATGAATCATTATATTGTACACCTGAAACTAATGTTACACTGAATATAAACTAACTGGAATTTAAATACATACTTGAGAATGAATGAGTAAATAAATGAATAATAAACAAACAAACAAAATTAGAGTATAGTAGCCACTTCCTAAGGACAAGATATCCAAAAGGAAATGTGTTTATATTTTTGAAATGCCTTTTCTACCTGCATCTTATATAGTTCTATCTAATTCTCTACAGTAAATGGTAGATAGAAAGAGAGAAAGAAAATCTGGAGATTTTCTCATTTTTACAGAGTATTGCCTTTACCAGTAACTGCAAATCTGAAAGAGAAATGAGTAGATACATAGCCCATTTTTAAATAAATTAGAAAAATTAAAATTGAATAGAATTTGAGTGAGTGTAATTCTAAGAATTTCAGAGTAAGTTTCATATAGGGAGTCATCTGAGCAATATATCAAGGTCTGTGTTGATTGTGTCTAAATTAAATTTAACTCTGTATTTTAAAGTAGAAAGAGCATTTGAGAAGACCCAAGTAATTACATGTGACATATTTTTTCAATCATTGTCAAATACTTATAGATTGTCTCTTTTGTGCCAGGCTCTATTGTAAGAGTTTGGAAAACATCCATGAATAAAGCAAAGACCCTGTCTTTGTGGAGCGTATTTTATAGAGGAGAGAGTGATGGTGGAAGATAAAATAAAAAATGGATTAAAAAGTAAAGTATAACGTATGTTGTAAATTGAAAATAACCATGGGAAGACCTAAAATTTTTGCAGAATAAGGGGAATTAGTCATGTCTAGGTGGAAGATAGGTGTTGCCACTGAAATTTAAAGTAGGGATTCAGCATAGGCCTCTTTGAAAAAGTGAGCAGAGATTTTAAGAAGGTAAAAGCATTAACAGTGCAGATATTAGAGGAAACTGTGCTCTAGGTAGAGAGAACAACCAGGGATAAGACCCTGAGTCAGAAAAGTATCTGACTTCTTCAAGGAAGATTGAAGTGTTCAGTATAGTATATAGATACAGTAAAGGGGAAAGCACTAGGAGAGTATGAGATCAAAGAAGAAGACAGATCATCTAGAGTCTTTTAGGACATTAAAGGGCATTGAATTTTACTGAGAGAAAATGAAGAGTAATTGGGATATTTTGAACAAAATGATTATATTATCTGACTTATGTTTTAATAATTGTGGATACTCTGTTAAAATATAAGTTGGGGGGCGCCTGGGTGGCGCAGTCAGTTGGGCGTCCGACTTCAGCCAGGTCACGATCTCGCGGTCCGTGAGTTCCAGCCCCGCGTCAGGCTCTGGGCTGATGGCTCGGAGCCTGGAGCCTGTTTCCGATTCTGTGTCTCCCTCTCTCTCTGCCCCTCCCCCGTTCATGCTCTGTCTCTCTCTGTCTCAAAAATAAAAAAATAAAAAACGTTGAAAAAAAAATTTTTAAATATAAGTTGGGAAGAATAGAAGAAGGAAATCCAGTTAAAAGGTTATTGCAATAATTCAGATGATAAATAATAATGGCTCATGAATAACTAGAAAACCTAGAACTGTAGAAGCAATGAGGATTGAAAGACAAAAATTCTGGAGAAAAGGTAGAACCTCTCATAAATGAATTTGTGACCTGCAGCTTATTCATTCTTTATGGTACCTGTCTATTCTAGCCATTGATTGAAGCTTAGAATTCATGTTTGGCCCTAGGCATAGGGCTGATGCTAGGTGATAGGGGAAAAAAAAGCAATTGTTTAATTGGCACACAGAGCTAAAGTGATAAAAATAGAGATCCAGAAGGTCTCAAATTCTTGGCCGATGTCCCTGTCAATACAATTGCTGACTTTTTGAATATGCATAAATCATAAGGCCAAATAAAAATATGAAAACCTCTGAAATGTAAAGCTGGCTTTCCTACAGTCTCCCAATGCTATAAAAAAGAAGGCATGCTAGGCTATCAGTTTACAACCCCAGAGAAGCTATGTCCTAGTTACAAGGGAACAGCAGGGACATACATCAAGTTTAACCAAAACTATAACCCAACTCAGTCTCTTATAGGATTAAGGTAATATTTATCCTAAACTATCTGCTTAGAAAAGGAAAAAATGAAGCCTCTCTGGTATAAGTTAACATCATCTGAAAACTAAACAATTTTATTATATAGTGTCTGGAATTCAATAAAAAAAATCATTAGGCATACCAATAGACAGGACTATATGACCTAAAACCAAGATTTTAAAACAAAACAAAAAATAAATAAAGGGGGAGGGGGAATATAGAATAGGTCAACAGGTGACCCAGATATCAGAGTTTGTAGACAAGGACTTTTAAAAACTATGCTAAAAAACAAAAACTATGGTTAATATGTTCGAGGAAAAGGAGAAAAGATGAATATAAGAGATAAAAGAGACAAAACAGAATTTCAGCAGAAAATTGGAATCTATAAAGAAGAACAGATTAGAAATTACTTATGGAAAAGTACATATGCAAAATTCAGAATTCAATGGATAGATTTAACAAGCAGAAGACAGGATTGGAGAATTTAAAAATGGATAAACAGAAAATAGCAAAACTGAAGCACAGGGACACAAAAATACAGAAAAGAGTAAGAAACATGGGACACAGTAAAATACGTTGTAATGTGTAATTTTGCGGAAGAAAAATGGAGAGAAAGGAGCAAAAGTAATAATTACATTCAGGCCAAACATTTTTAAAGTTATCAATCTAAACATTCAAGAAGTTGGTAAGCACTAAGGAGGACAAATACAAAGAAAACACTGATTCTAAAATTTATATAGAAATGTAAAAGTGTAAAAAATAGCTAGGCAATCTTGAAGAAGAAGAATAAAGCTAGAGAACTTACAATCAAATCAAATCTAATACCAGATTTAAAATTTTAAAACTACCTGTATATTCTAAAGCTGTAGGTATTATTATTGGAATGATAGACAAATAGACTAATGGGACATAACAGAAGTCCAAAAGCAGAAAGAAAGGGAGAAGGAAAGGGAGGCTGATAGGGAGGGAAGGAAGGAAAGAGAGAGAAAGAAATCTTGACTTTTATCTCTCATCATGCACAAAAATAAATTTCAGATGGAATGTAGATATAATGTGAAAAGGTGAAAGGTAAAACAATAATTTTTTTAGAAGAAAATATAAGAGAATATTTTCATGATCTTTGAAGAAGTAGAGATTACTTAAATGGGACATAAAATATCGCTGATCACAAAGGTAAAAGAGGATGAATTAGAATATATTAAAAATTAATACATTCTGTCTATCAAAAGACAATGGTAAAAAGGCCAGTCACAAGGTGAGAGAAAATATGTGTATTGCATATACATGACAAATGACTCAAATCCATAATTATTTTTTTTTATTTTTTAACTTGTTTTATTTTTTATTTTTTTAAATTTACATCCAAATTAGCGTATAGTGCAACAATGATTTCAGGAGTAGATTCCTTAGTGCCCCTTACCCATTTAGCCCATCCCCCCTCCCACAACCCCTCCAGTAACCCTCAGTTTGTTCTCCATATTTATGAGTCTCTTCTGTTTTGTCCCCCTCCCTGTTTTCATATTATTTTTGTTTCTCCTCCATTATGTTCATCTGTTTTGTAGTCAGAAACCTCAATAGAAAAAAAAGTGTTGAATAGGCACCTTGTAGAACACTTTCCCAATCACACACACATATAAAATGATCCACTATATTAGTCATCAGGGAAATACAAATTAAAATCCAGAGGATACCATTCTACACCCACTAGAATAACTAAAATGAAAAAAAGAAGGTTGTAAATGTTTTATGAATAACATATAGTGTATAAATTTTTTAGGAATTTCAACTTTTCTTCCTTAATCCCAAATGTTGGTGAGGATATGGAACACAACTATACTCTCATGCACTGTTAAGAGGAATGTAAATTTGTACAAAAGTTTTGGGAAATTGGTGGTTTCTACTAGTACTAAACATATACATATCATAGAACCTGGCATTTCTAGTCCTGAGTATATTTTTAAACATAAATCAGTATTTATATCTACCAAAAAGCATACAATGAGTGTTCATAGCAGAGCTATTTTAGTTGCTCCAAACTGAAAACTACTCTAATATCTATCAGAACAGATACAAAATCTATGATATATTCACACAATAAAATACTGTACAATGACAGATATATTACAGTCAACAACATGGATGAGGTTATAGATTTAATTCTGAGCAAAAGCCGGACACATAAATGTATTATAGTGCACGATTCCATTTATATCACATACAATATCAGGCAGAATTAATCTGTGGTATTAGAAGTCCTTAATATATGGGGCACCTGGGTGTCTCAGTCGGTTGGGCCTCCATCTTCAGCTCAGGTCATGATCTCCCAGTTTTTGTGGGTTCAAGCCCCGCTTGGGCTCTGTGCTAACAGCTCAGAGCTGGAGCCTGCTTTGGATTCTGTGTCTTTTTCTCTGCCCCTCAACTCACACTCTTTCTCCATCTGTCTCTCAGAAAATGAATAAACAGTAAAAAAAAATTAAGAAGTCCTTAATATTTTATCTAACATTGCTATTGATAATATACCCAAACTTCTAACATATTAAACTATGGGATTCAGGAATAGGAGTTGGAATTCCTAAAAATCTTACACATTAAATGTTATTCATAAAATATTTCCAACCTTCTTT